GATGATCAGACTAAAAGAGTTTTCTGGGACCACATTGATGAGGTATTACAGGAGCTACCCGTAGGAGAGAACCTAGTTATAGGTGGTGATTTCAATGGCCATCTATGAAGTACGGGTACTCCAAAAATAGTGCCGTACGAGTACCGGGTACTTACAGGGTGCGGGTACGCTTATCGGTACGACTGCATGCGTATTGGGTACGGTAAAAAGGGGTTTGGTACGTTTGGTTTAATCAGGTACGGCATGGGTATGCTGGGGCAAAAAATCAAATTTATAAGAGAATTAGGGGTACCGGAGCAATTTATTTATGTTCTTTATTAAAAAAACAAAAAACACAGTGTCATGTTGTAATATTAAAAATATATATACACCTAGGTTTTGTTTTATCCCTTCTTCCATCTCTTCGCTTCAGCAACAGCAAAGAGACGAAGCCCTAGTGTAGTCGTCTTCGTCTTCGTCTTCTTCTTTAGCAACAGTAGCATCTCTTCACTTTGAAGCCCTTCGGCGACGGCGACGGCGACGCAACGAGACGAAGCCTTCCGGTGAGTGTTCTTCATCTTCTTCTTTATCTTCGTCTTCTTCTTCTTCTTCGTCTCTTCGTCTTCATCTCTTTTCTTCGTTTTTTCTGCAGATCAGCAACTGGTGAGTGCTCTTCATCATCTTTGTTTCTTCGTCTTCCCTCCGGTGAGTGTTCATCTCTCTCTCTCTCTCTCTCTCTCTCTCTCTTTTTGTGCCCCTGTAGATCAGCAATTTTGATGGATGGGATTATTGATCTATGTAAATGTAGTAGATTATTGATTTGTGTTAATGTAGTAGATTATTGATCTCTGTAAATGTAGTAGATTATTGATCTGTGTAATGTTAATTGCTACTGCTGTTCTTCATTTGATTTGTGTAATGTTAATTGAGTGTTCTTCGTCTCTCTCTTTTTTTTGTGCTCCTGTTCTTCATCTGCTGTAATGTTAATTGCTGCTGCTATTAGAAATAAATTATGATCATAGTGCATGACATCTCAAAATGAGAGAATTCACAAATATTATTTTAGTTTTCATATTTAATTTTAATTTGTAGGTTGGATCCTTTAACCATAATTATAATACAAAAAAAAAAAAAATCGGCATATCGCAGCCGTACCCGTATCATACTCTTTTTGAGTTTTGCCGTATCGGCGTACCCGTTCCCGTTCCCGTTCCCGTTCCCGCACCCGCACCCGCACCCGCACCGTACCCGTTCCCGCACCCGTGCTTCATAGATGACCATGTAGGAGTAGATAAACTAAGGTATAAGAGGGTGCATGGTGGGTATGGTTTTGGTGATGGAAATGAGGTTGGAGAGAGTATCTTAGGTAGTGTTTGGTAGAGTTTTCTAAATATAATTTGAGAATAGAGTTGTATTTTGAGTTTGTGAGTTTTGGAATTATGATTTCAGTGTGGAAAATTTGTTTGGTTATGAGTTTGGAATTGAATTTGAAATGAATGATGTGACATATGATATTTAATTCAAAAACGTACAACTCATAACCAAACACATAACCCAAAATTCTTTTCAAAACTCATAAAAAAATTTTAAAAAACATTTTGAAATTTTTTATTTAAAATATAAAAATAACAGGTGCAAAAAAAAAAAAAAAAAAAAACCGAACACTGTTCCGGTCAACCGACCAGACGTCCAGGAGGACTATCGGGTTAGGCAAAATTTTCCGCTTGGAAAGGAGTTTTCAAAAGTGAGTGTAGATTTATAATTTGAAAACTCAAAACAAATATCACACTAAAATCAATGGGTGGAAATATGTTTGGAGAGCTTCTCTAAACACAATCTTAGATTTTGTGTTAGCTTTTGACCTAGTGGTGGCTAATACTATGTATAAGAAGAGAAAGGATCATATGATAACCTTCATGAGTGGGTCAATTAGAAGCCAAATAAATTACTTTTTAGTAAGAAAAGGAGACCGTCTAAAATTTAAGGTGATTCCTAGAGAAAACTTGACTCAACATAGGATTTTGGTACTAGATTTATGGTTTAAAGGGCAATACCAAACTCGGAAAGATAGTGGGTGTCATAGGACTAGATGGTGGGACTTAAAAAGGGATAAACTAACCACATTTAAGAATAGAATGTATTTGGGACTTGGAAGATGATGTTAACACTATGTGGAACTCGATGGCCAATTATATGAGAAGAATCTCAAGAGAAGTTCTGGGAGAGTCAAAAGGAAAGGGACCTAACTTTAGGAAAACTTGGTGGTGGAGGGAGGAGGTCCAAGCAGTAATAAAGACGAAAAAAGAGAGCCTTAAAAAGTGGCAGAATGATAAAACTGAGAAAACCTTAAGCGTTACAGATTGGCTAATAAGGAGGTTCAAAAAGTAGTGATGGAGACTAAGGCCTCGTTTGGGAACAGGCTTTTTTAGTAACTTTTTGGCTTTTTGGCTAAAATATGATGTAAAAAAAAACTAGTATGTTTGGGATGACTTTTTGACTTTTTACGAAAAGATGTGCAAAAAGTAGAGAGAAAAGAGAATCTTTGACTTTTTGGTATGGGATATTGGCTTTTTGGTTTTTTTAGTAACTTTTTGACTTTTTGGCTAAAAGGGGCACTTGCCAAATGAGGCTTATGATGACTTATACACTAGACTAGATAGTAAGGAGGGAGAGAATAGGAAATACAAACTTGCTAATATAAGAGAGATGAAAACAAGAGATTTTAATTAAGTTAAGTGCATTAAGGGTGAGGACTCTAAGGTGTTGGTGAAAGGATGAAGAGATTAAGAAGATGTGGAAGAACTATTTTGAGAAGTTGTTAAATGAAGAGCATGGAGGTAGGTCAAAAGAGGAGGAAGTATGCAGTAATAAAGAAAACCAGGACTATAGGTTCTATCGTAAGATTAGGGACTTTGAAGTGGAGTTTGCACTTAAGAAGATGAAATTGAATAAGGCTTTAGGACCCGATGATATACCTATTGAAGTGTAGAAATGTTGGGGTAAGAAGGGGGTTGTTTGGTTGATTAGGTTATTTAGAAAGATTTTGTTGATTAGGAAAATGTCAGAGTGGAGGAAGAGTATTTTAGTGCCTATATATAAGAATAAAGGAGATGTCTAGAATTGTATTATAGAGGAATCAAGTTAACAGAGGTGATTGAACATCGATTGCGAGATATAACAGAGGTGATTGAACGTCGATTGTAACAATTATTTTAGTGTCACACAATAAAAGTGTGGGAGAGAGTGATTGAACGTCGATTGCGAGATATAAAAAAGGTGTCAGAGAATCAATTTGGGTTTATGCCTGGTAGGTCAACAATGGAAGCGATCTATCTTTTGAGGAGAGTAATAGAAAAATATAGAGAAAAGAAAAGAGGCATTCATATAATTTTTGTCGATCTTGAGAAAGCATATGATAGAGTGCCTTGGGATATAATTTGGTGGGTGCTAGAGAAGAAATGTGTACAAAAGGTTACATTGATGTGATTAGGGATATGTATGAAGGTGTTGTGACCACTATTAGATCGCTTGCTAGAGAGACGAGTGAATTTTCAATTTCTGTAGGGTTACACCGATGATCAACCTTAAGTCCTTATCTTTTTGCTTTAGTTATAGATGAGTTAACATGCAAATATTCAAGATGATGTGTCATGGTATATGTTTTTTGCAAATGATATTGTGCTAGTGGATGAGATTAGAGAAGGAGTTAACACTAAGTTGAAGATTTAGAGACAAATATTTGAATCTAAAGGATTTAGAATAAGCAGAACTGGAGTGTAATTTTGGTAACAATCACAATGGAAGTAGAGAAGAAGTGAAGATTGAGAACCAAGAACTACCTAAGAGTGAACATTTTCGTTATTTAGGATTAATTATCACAACGACTGGGGAGATTAGAGCGGATGTGGTCCACAGAATTAAGGCAGGGTGGCTTAAGTGGAGGAGTGTGTCTGGAGTACTATGCGATAAACGAATACTCATTAGACTGAAAGGAAAGTTCTATAGAACGACTATTAGACCATCGATGTTGTATGGGACGAAATGTTGGGCAACTAAAAAAATAACATGTAGAGAAGATGAGTGTTGCTGAGATGAGGATGCTAAGGTGGATGTGTGGCAAGATTAGAATAGACAGAGTTAGGGAAAGGGATAGACTTAGATTGATGTGGACTAGTGTAGTAAATAAAGATATAAATCTCCTTAATTTGACTAACGAAATGGCCTTGGATAGAGTCGAGTGGAGAAGAACGATTCATACAGTCGACCCCATTTGATGAGATGCAAGGCTTGGTTTGGTTTGGTTTGGTTTGGTTTGGTTTAGGTAAACTAGAGAACTCTATTTGTCAGGGGAAACATGCTACTATGATAGGGTGCTTCCAATACAGGTATAATGCTCTTCTAAAAATACTGGGGAAATGTTGAAATGTTTCTGGTACTTTCGGGAAACATTAAAGGGAAACTCTAAAGAAAAGAAGATGGAAAAATATCTTTGCAAAAACTACTTGGAAATTAATCAAATATTTACGGATTCTTTTTTGAAAGATTTTTAGCAAATATACAATATGTAAAAAACAAGTTTTAAATCTGTCATAGGAGAATGGTTTGAGAAATTTCAAATGAGACACAGCTACCATTGAAATATTCATATATGTTTTCAGTAATTCTTTTAAAAGTTTCTTTTGTTTTACAAATGTTTCTGCTAATATTTCTACTAGGTTGCCCATTTGGTTCTTCGATTGTTTTCATTTCCCGTTTTCATTTCCTCTTCTTGTTTTGTCCACATTTCCATTGTTTCCTTCTTCAGTTTCCTATTCTGGAAACTATGTATAAGATTGGTGATGATGTGAATTTCACTGAACAATTAAAATTTTAACTTTTGGCATCTTTTAACATCTGACCTACACTATAGTCAAATCATCCATTAATCTTTCTGATATTTTTTTCTTCTATTCATCAGATTGTTGGCTTCGATCAGAGTCATATTGTTGTTCTCTACTCACCTTTGTAATTTTCTAATTCAGGTGATCTATTCAAACGAGGAGAGGAAGTTCAACAGAGACATAATTGTTGGACTTATTCACAAGGACTTACTGAACCTCACAGAATACAACATGCACATGGCAAAACTTATTGATGCTGGGAGGAATAGTGCGTAATAGGAACATCAATTGTGTTAAAATTTACCATCACCTACCACACACTTACCATCACCTACCACACACTCACCTACTACACTCACCTACTCCTCACCTACCACCACCACTCACCCTCTCCTATATAATGAGCCACTCACCATTTGTAATATACATCAATATACATCAATCAATAATACAATTCTCTATTTCTTTTTATACATCAATAATAACATGGTATCAGAGCAAGGTTAAAACCTTAGTATTTTTCGCTTCACCGGCGGGCGGCAACCTCGCCTTGACCGTCCGCCGGACCTCAACCTATTCCGCCCGTCAAGATCAACTTCCCATCAAGCTTCAACAAAGAAAGGACCAGATCTTCTTGTTGCAGTATTGCTCTTTGATTTGCCCGGACTACAATTTCTGCAGCATCCAACGATGCATCCACCTCCCACTGTGTCTCCTATCTTGAACTTGCTCACATTGGATCCCACCTCTATCACTTCATCAACCACTTCATCAACCATGATCATCACTCAATCAATTCACAAACCCAGCCGATCAATTAATGTGCAACCTTCTTGCCTGGTGGTCCCTTCTAAGTCATCAACCATTTTTGAAGTGGGAAAGAATCATGATTCGGTTAATCAGAACTGCAGCTTTACTAGAAGTTCTGTTATCGATTACAGCCTTCTCTCACCTCATTCAAATAATCCCTTGTTTGGTGCTGGGCAACTATCGGATGGGGATCTGAAAACGACGGGCGTGCGTAATGGGTACTCGGGTCCTGGTTCCATATCTCCATCTGTGTCATCTTGCTCCATAAATGCTGATAACGGTGCTAATAGGCGCCGTAGTAGCGAATCAGAGAGCGAGGGAGAGCCGATGACGCCCCGATTGAAGACGCACAGGAAGAAGCGCGGCCACGTGAGCGCCGGGCACGGCCGCATCGGAACACACAGCCACCATCCCGGTGGTCGCGGAAACACCGGAGGAATGCCCCATCACCACCTCCTTTTCGACGAGTACCATCCTGGTTCCTTTGGCAAGGTCGGCATGAGGTCCTTCCCCAGGCTTCGCCCCAGGTTCTATTGCCCCATCATCCACATCTGGTCTCTCGTTCCTCAGGAAATCAAAGACAAAGCCTCTCTGTCACCTCGTGGGCTTGTTCCCACCATACCATTTTAATATATTCTAATACTGTATGTAATATTACCTCACAGATTCACACACTACCACTTTAAATCGTTATTTTATTTTTTATCTTTTCTTTTTGAACTTTCCATCACCGCCCACAACACCTTTCCTTCACCTTTTGCACCCCACTTTACTTTTATTTATTTTATTTTATCTTCCTTTTTTCATTTAAAATAAAAAAAATAAAAAAAAAAACAAAACAAATCATCTGCACTAACAAACTGCTATTGTGTAGCACGTGGGTACTACACCTCTCTAGATACACAAACCGCCATTGTATTTTGAAAACCATGGGCTCCGGCCAAACCCACCTCTCTCTATTAAGGTGTTCCAAACACATTTCCACCCACTAATTTGAGTGTGGTGCTTGTTTTGAGTTTTCAAATTATAATTTTTTTTTTTTTTTTTTTTTTTTTTTTTTTTTTTTTTTTTTTCCACAAAAAAAAAAAAAAAAAAAAAAAAAAAAGAAGGCAGAAGACGAACTGCACACCAAACTCATTTTATTCATATTGGGGCTCACCCCGATCACCATTTTTTACACCAAAAAAAAAAAAAAAAAAAAAAAAAAAAAAACAAAAAAAAAACGAGTGGGATTTTTCTTCTCTACTCTGCTGCGGGTCTCTTCTTCTTGCCTCCGTCCTGGGCTGCCCTTGACGGTGTTGCCTCCGTGTTTCCCCCTCCACTGGGCATGATCACTACTCCCTGCTCCTCCACTGCCGCATATGGCGGACCTCCAAATCGAAACATCACGGTGGCCTTCCGCTTCAGCTCCTTGTTTTCTCCCCTTAGCACGCTTATCTCTGCTCGCGCATCCTTATACATGCGTTGGAGCAGAGCCAGCTGGGAGTTGGGACACATCCAAACACACCCTCCTAGACCACAACATACACTAGTCGAACAAATGGCACACCAATCATAGGCCCAATCAAGCTCTGATACCAAATTGAAAAGTCTAACCCACACTTCTCCCTAAAACCCAGGTATTAAGGAGAGGGAAACTGGAACCTTATATTTTAAGGAGAGGGAAACTGAAGCCTTATAAGCAGTACAGATGGGGCAATTCCAGGCGATGTGGGACACATCCAAACACACCCTCCTAGACCACAACATACACTAGTCGAACAAATGGCACACCAATCATAGGCCCAATCAAGCTCTGATACCAAATTGAAAAGTCTAACCCACACTTCTCCCTAAAACCCAGGTATTAAGGAGAGGGAAACTGGAACCTTATATTTTAAGGAGAGGGAAACTGAAGCCTTATAAGCAGTACAGATGGGGCAATTCCAGGCGATGTGGGACACATCCAAACACACCCTCCTAGACCACAACATACACTAGTCGAACAAATGGCACACCAATCATAGGCCCAATCAAGCTCTGATACCAAATTGAAAAGTCTAACCCACACTTCTCCCTAAAACCCAGGTATTAAGGAGAGGGAAACTGGAACCTTATATTTTAAGGAGAGGGAAACTGAAGCCTTATAAGCAGTACAGATGGGGCAATTCCAGGCGATGTGGGACACATCCAAACACACCCTCCTAGACCACAACATACACTAGTCGAACAAATGGCACACCAATCATAGGCCCAATCAAGCTCGTCTTTTGATGGCACGCCTTTTGATGGCACGCCTTTTGAAAGATTGGGCACACCTTTTGAGGGTGCGACTTTTTAAGGGTTCGACAAGATTCTGTAAACTGTCCCGACATTGATTCCGGTTAGTTTCTACAAGGGTCCAGCAAGACTCCGTAAACTGTCACAACAACTGTCACAACAGTGTCTGTTACAACGGTCCGACATGACCCCATAAACTGTCTTCTACATCGGTCTAACACGACCACACAGTGTCTGCTACAACGGTCCGACATGACCCTATAAACTGTCTTCTACATCGGTATGACACCACCATACAGTGTCCTCTACATGGTTATGACACCCCCATACAGTGTCCTGTCCTCTACAACGTTATGACACCACCATCCAGTGTCTTCACCAATGGTCTGACACGACCATACAGTGTCTCTTATCCTCTTTTATTTTTATGTATTTTCTTGTTTTGTTACTCTCTCCAAACTCAAGTTGGTTAGTTCCTATCCCCATTGAGTTTGCGGGGGGCTGTTAAAATTTACCATCACCTACCACACACTTACCATCACCTACCACACACTCACCTACTACACTCACCTACTCCTCACCTACCACCACCTACTCCACTACACCTACATCTATATAAGGAACCATTTGTAATATCAATATACATCAATCAATAATACAATTCTCTATTTTTTTTTTTATACATCAATTTTAACAAATTGGGTTCTTGTTCTACTCTTAGGCATTCAACATTGCTAACTAGTTGCTTATGCTATGCAGAATCTGCTACAGAATTTGCAATTTCTCTTCTCCAGACTTTGTTGATTCAGGAGTCAAGCGTTAGTGTATCTGAACTTCCCAATTTGGTTGATGTGTTGGCAAAGGTACATAATTCTTTGTTATGTGTGTTATTAGTTATTAAGGATTTTGTTCTGATGTTTAGTGTTATGGGATTGAAAGCTTTTTCCAAATTGCAGGTTGCAACTAGACCTGGAGCTTCTGACTCTTTACAACAGTTGGTCTACAAGGAATCCTGCTGCTAATGCAGCATTTCTTTCTGGGTTTTCTCTTGGCAAGGATGACAAGGCTAAACCATCCAGAGAAAAGAAGGTTACTGAATATAGTGCTGTTTTTTATATATTGACAGCTGACTAGGATCTTTGAAATCGAAGATTTAACTTATTCAGCTGACGGAACAGGGCTCTGATAATGCTACTATTCTAACAAGAGAAGAATATATCAATGCCAATTCTGGGGCAGCAGATGACCCTGCCAGCTTTCATAATCAGTTTTCTTCTGAATGCTAATTAGAAAACATATGTTTGAGTTTGATTTCTGGTTCTGAAAAGGAAAATGATGAGTAGATAAAATGACATTTCTTATATTAACTGCATTTATGTGTAGATGGCACTTAGTTTTGATTTCATTTTTTTATCTTTCTCTCTCTCTACTTCCTGTCCTAGGGAACCGCAATGTTTATTCTTATCGTCAGAGTCCTATGATGAGCAAGAATTGGATGGATCTTTTAAAACAGTTTGGTTTTCTGAAACTTAGTTGTGCGAGTTTTGAGAAATATTTGTTAACATATTTAGCTCTGAAACTTATAGGCTACACATAATGTGCATTTGATAACTTATGATTCCTTGTGATCAACATTTTATAGTTGTCGTGAATTGTGGTGGTGAAAAGATAGAGGAGAACATGATTTTGTACATAGACTGCGAGTGACAAAGCTAACAAAATTCAGGCAATGTCTGGTTGGCCTTGGCAGACCTGATTATTTAATTTCATGCATGATTCTCTCACCTCAAAAATCTGTTCCTCAGTGCTCATCTTCTCTCTGTCCCTCCCTTACTTTTCTTTTCTTAACTGTAACTCCACTTGTGCATGCAGTAGGCTTCCATTTTTGGCAGGTCTGATTAGTATCAACTTTCATCTCTATGTTCCTTCAGTTCCTTCTCAGCATTTTCGGCAGCTCCAATGACTTTCAACCTTCATGTCAATCTTCCTTCCAAATTTTACTCATCAGGAATCAATTCTTTTTCTTCTCTTCACATTTTGTAGCAAGTTTCATCTCTCTTTCTCTGTATTGCTCTCGCGTGCTTTCTGCTGATCCCCAATTAATGTGAAATGAACAAAGAGAGTCTATAGTTACTTTTCTCTTCTGAGTTAAACAGACCTGGAGGTCATTTGTGTCTTTCAAAATATGGGAAGGACTAAATCTAATTTAAATGTGAAATCTGTTGGCTATATATACAGATATGCATGTAAATATGTATTTATATATGCTTATATTTTTCTTATAACCGAATGGGTAATTGACCTGGATAGCTTACGTGATACATGAGGTTTGTGGGTGATTGTGTACATTAATATGAGGTATCTCAGCTCAAGAAATGGGTCAGGAACACATTCCCATGTGCATCATAGAAAGATATAGATAATAAAATTTAAAAAAACAAACAAACAAACAAACAAAACAAAAATAGTGTATGTATCAGGTCTTTTTTTTTTTTTTTTAAAATTTAAAAATTGGGAAGTCTATCCATCTTGCATCTTTTAGTACAAAATAATGGTGTTTCATTAATTTGCTGTGTGAATGTGTTGTAGGTATCCACGCTATTTGCAGAATGGTACAAAATATATGAACTGCATGGTACAAATGAAGCAACTTGTACTCGCTTTCTCTCACAACTGCAGCAAACTGGTTATTTTAATGGAGATGACATGTCTGATCGTTTCTTCCGTCATCTCATGGTAACATATATATTTTTTTCCTTTCATGTTTGAAGCTGCTTTCTTAAATAAATGAGTTGCACTTGTTTCTTTTTCTTCATCATCATCGTTAAGTAACATTCATTGGTTTCAGGAACTTTCTGTCGCATTTTGTCTCTCAACTGAGGGGATTAGTTCCAGGTCCTTGTCTTTCCAGTCTTCTCAATCATCACAGAACCTATCATTTCTTGCCATTGATGTGTATGCAAAGCCTGTTGTTTTTTTTGAAGGTATTACAATTTCTGATGCTCTTCTTGCTGTTCTGATAGTAGTAATGTATAGTATTGTCAAGATCATAATTATTTGTCTATTTATTCTATATCATTCTGTACTTTCATGTGTTCTTTATCCTGTCTGTTAGCATGATTTGTGGCTTGTTTGTTTTCAGTACTGTGTGGCAGAGCATGGACCAAATAAACTTCTTCTTTTGCCAAAGGTCTAACCATACTGTATTTTGTCTTGGTTCTTTTTATGCCTTCCCAGAACATGAGTTTAATGCTGCATATGAATTTGGCAGATATTATCAGTGAGTCATTCAAAAAGATGCTGAGGAAAAGAGAGCATCTTTTAATCCGAGGCCATATTTCAGGTTGTTCATTAACTGGTTTTTCAATCTTCTTGCTCCTGATTCCATCCTAGAAGGTTGTAACTTTCAGGTAAGAGGCATATTTATTTCATAGAGGCACAGTTATTTCAATCATCATATTTCAGTCTCTGCATAACTAATGCTGCGGATTGGGTGTTTCCAGGTAACTGCTTTTGCAAATGCTTTCCATTTATTGCAACCTCTTATGCTGTGTTTGGTTGGGGGATTTTAGGAAGGATTTGGAAAGGGAAATGGAAAAGGTAGGTGAAATATAAATAAATCATGCCTAAATTTCACCTAGTTTCACACACCTTTTCCCTTTCACTTTCCAAATCCCTCCCCAAATCCCCCAACCAAACACAGCATTAAAGTTCCTGCTTTCAGGTCAGCATGCTGGACATTCGGAATGTGCAACCCATGTTTTTTTTTTTTTTTTCACTTGTTTGTCTTTCATTTGAAGTTTGTAGTTTGCAATTCATGACAGATCAATGCTGTATTTTCAATTTGTTGAATCGATAATATTGACTGGAATTTGTTTGAACATTCATGTTTTGAGTGCTGTGGTTGTTACTGATGTGAGCTATAAGAGGTTTCTTACTATTAGAAAGAATAATGACTCGATTACTTTTTTGGAACTTTTAAGATGATTTCAGTCCTGTATGAAGGATTAGTGCAGGATTTTCAGTTGATATTATTCATCTGTTATGGCATCACCGTGAAATATTTTACACTTGCAAACTTTGCACAAACACAGACTGTTTTCGCACCTCTGTTTGCTTATCTAACTAATAATCTGATGCTGCAGATCTTCGCTGGTTTGGAATTGTCTGATCTGTTTATGGGTTTCCTAAACAGCCCGCTTACTGTAATTTAAGACACTTGTACTGATTTGGAGTTTCATCAGCTCGTGTAATACTTCAATTATTGAGAAGATGTTTTAAGAAGCCAGTTCTGTGCTGGTTTGAATTAATTTCTGGTGACCTTTGTACTTTTTTAATATACTTTTTCTCACATTCTATTAATTTGCCTTTTTTTAATTAAAAAACAATAATTTACCTGTTTGGAGTGACATCATATTATTTTTTGTTAATTTTTTGCAAAATTCAATTAATTTTATTTAGGAAAGATGAATCACCTTGTTTGTTTTCACTTTTCAAAAAACACTTTTCAGAAAATTCTACTTTCTTATTTTCGGTATTTTTTTGTTTTTACTGAATTTTTTAAATATTTTAAGCAATTATTTTATTTTTTAGACACCTAACACAAATACACCTAAAAAGTAAAAAAATTGTAAATTTTTTTTTTAAAAAAAATTCACTAAATACCAAAAATATAAAAAAATACAAAAATTCAGTATATTTTTTTTTTGTATTTTTATGTATTTATTAATTTTTTAAAATATTGTTTCACAAATTTTTTTTATTTTTTAGATACATCTAAGTAAGGTGTATTTAAAAAAGTAAAAAAATGTTTTAAATTTAAAAAATATTCACTAAAAACAAAAAAACACGAAAATTAAAAAGTCAATTTTCAAAAAATTTAATTTAGAAAACTCAAACCAAACACACTAATTGATTTTTTTATTTGGTTTTTGAAAAATGTTTTGGAACTCTAATTTTTAAGTTCTAAAGGTAGCTCTAATGAGTTGGCAGTGAGCTCTATTCACAGTGATGTGATATTTTGGTCTTGATTTATTTTTATTTTATTTTTTTTCTTCATTATCATGTCATTAGTGTTCTATTAGAGTACAAAAATTAGTAGTCTAAATAATTACTGTTGGTTTTTACAGCTTTTTTAATTGAACCACTTTTGGAGTTTTGCGAGCCTGGAACATTAAAAATTTGATCCGTACCTTGCTTTTACTCCCCAAATGGACAAAATCCTATCTACGGTTTGGAAGGGACCTTAAAATGTTGTTTTAATAAAGAGTGTTTTGAAAAATAGTACTTTTAGGAATCAATTTTTTAATCTTTAAAAATGAAAATTTTGTTAAAAAAAAATTTAAAAATCAATTTTTGTTGTCACGAAAATAGTCGGTAAAAAGTCGTTCAAAAAAGTTAACAAAACTTGTAGCTACAAAATTTTAAAAATGTCTCTAATAAATATATTTTTAAGGAAAAAAATAATTCATTCCCAAAAAGTTTTATTTTTTTAGACTAAATTTTTGGTTGCAAAATAATAATAATTCATCATTAATGTCTAATTTTTTTGCTAAAAATATAATAATGATACTTTTGATAACAAAAATATTTAGTCAGTAAAAAGTGATTTTATCCATAAATTTTTATCTCTAAAAGCTTAATTTGTTGTAGTGACAATACCAGTATACCATGGAGTATAAAAGCACAGTAAATACTACTATACTGGTACTCCTTCCCAGTCAAATTTTTGACAATTAGTGTTGTAAGGATTCCTATGTAGTTCATAAAATTAGATTGTCCTCTTATATTATTAGAAGAAAAATGCTTTGAATTTACCTTAATCAACACATAATTTATTTCGAATATAGTTGTGTTGTAAAGATTAAATTGATGAAGTGTATAGTTTATGAATAAAATAAACTTAAATTATTTATTATTTTTTTTGGATAAATTTTAGATTCATAAGTTTGAATTTATCTTCTTGTTATTAGAATTATCAAATATGACTTTTAACCAAAAATATGTAGTGGAGATTGTTTACAGTGTGATGAAAACGTACTTTTTTTTATTTGTCAATTTTTCCTTTTTATAAAATTATTCCATTGATTCCACTAATTGACAAGTATGCTTTGTATATATTTCTAATTATATATTTATTTTGCATTATTAGTTATAGGATTAAAAATTGTCAAGTTTGTTGGATAGAATATTTATCGAAATCTAATTCAAAAATTGTAACTAAACAATAAAATGTGAGTATCAAAAATTAATAATATCAATTATATATTATAATTCATTCAATCAGACATGCCCTAACTTATGACATTTTGGCTGTCATCATGTTGTGCGTTCTTCTATCTTTAACATTAGAGTAATGATACATCTCTATAATTTTAGAGCTCTAATTGAGCTCTAATGATGTGACAGAGAATAAAAAAAATAAAACTAAGGCTAAAACATCACATCCCAGCGGGTTCACTCCCATTATGAGATTGCATGCATGCTGACATGTTAAAAAATAATCATTTAAAAAAATGTCCCTATCAACTCCTGGTTAAGTTCTTAAATAATTTTCCAATATTTGGTATAAGAGAATTCAAATCAACCAACAAGGACCGTGATGATCATATTGGATTGACTTTAGTGGTGCCGTGGACGAACTGCTGTTTCATATCTACGTGCATGACTAAAGGTATGTTTGGAGGCCATTTAAAATAATTAAAAAGTTAAAAAAATAAAAAATTATTATTAAAAATTAATTTTTTTATTTTTATTTTTCTATATGTGTTTTTTTTATAAAAAAATTAAAAAGTTAATTAAAATAGTAATTCTTAAAACAATCCTAAGTGGTGCCTCAAAAAAAGGTATAATTGATATAAATGATGAATTTATCATTTTAATACGACATTTTTTTTTTTATTGATAATCCTGTGTCAAACATCTGAATTAAACTGCCAGCCAGCCAGCCAAACATCTGGATTATGAGGTGAGAAAATAAAGAAATTGTGATTTTTTTTTACCTCCTTGTTTAAATGAATAATGATTAAAAGAAGATATATATGTTTTTTTATTTTATTTGCTCTATCCAAGTCCAGAGGCCTAGTTAAAGTACATGTTATCATAATTAATTACATTAAACTTAAGTTTGACATCCTTAAAAAAATTTAGAAGGTCAAAAAATTACACAAAAAATAAAAAGACATATTACTATTCACAAATAAAAAGTATTTTATATATATTTATAATTCAAAAGTACTGCGCATCGTGACAGCCCTTGACCAGGAAAAGATTCACCTTTTTTTAGGAAAAAAAAAAATTCCATAAGTAAAGTTTATTAGTTTGATGGTAATATTGGGCCCTTGGATGCCCACTAAGGGTTCCTTTTTTATAATCTGAACCGTTCAATATGTAGAACTCGTCGTATAATATATGCCTGTAAAAAATCACATTGATCGGATATCGTTAACTATATGATCAAAATAGTTTTGTATAAACAAAATCGATGGTGTGATAGTTAAATGTTGGAAAAAACTAAACCGATCATATAACTATCGATATCCAATCAACGTGATTTTTTCTAAGCAAATAATAATTGACGAGTTGTACATATTAAACGGTTCAGATTATTAAAATGGGACCCATGATGGCTACCACAGACAAACCATTATTGTCTAAAAGTTATTTACCCCGAAAGAGTTGATTATTTTCCTGTATAGACAGGCTGGGGCAGCCGCAGGCAACCGTACAATCAACCACCAATCTTCCACTACCCACTTTATTTATACAATTTTTTATTACAAATTTTTTCATAAAAAGTAAAAAAATTAACTCAAATATCTATCTTTTTTTTCTCAAATTTTTAATTTAAAAAGACAAAAAATACACCCGAACAACTCCTGATTGTCTCATTCTTCTGTGTTGGATGCAGTTATGGGCATGCAAGAGGAGGGGCTACTGCCCATAGTGCCATAGATAAGTGGTTACAGGTTTACAACTTTGCCTTCACAATCACCAATCATATTTATTAAAACAATCCTAAGTGGTGCCTATGATGATGTAATGATGATGAAATGATGATGAATGTTTAGTGGCTTATGATGACACGCTTGTCAATTTTGCAAGAGGTTTCGTTGCCCAAAACGCACATCGTTCACTCCTGATTTGCCAACCTTACCAACTTCCTTACTCGAGACAGGATTATGATTGATTGGTTTATACTTGCCAGTTAGTCGTTTTCTTTTTATCACGATTTTTATAAATTATAATTAAAATTTATAATTAATAATTTTTTTTTTGTGATAAATTTTTTAAATTGTTGTGAAAGTTAAAATAATTTTTTTAAATTATCACTAAAACTTATAATTAGTGACATTTTTTATGATAAAATTTTTAAATCATTACTAAAAATTAATAATTAATGACTTTTTTTTAATAATATTTGATAAAAAATATCATGAATTCTCACTTAATCCATCTATTAAAAGTAATACGTAAGTTCCTTTATTGTTTGGTGGGTTGATTTCATTGTGATGGTATTTTGTGTGAGGAATAAAGAAATTGTTAGGCCCTTATAATGTAAAACTCATAGTCCATCTACAGTATCATGGAAGATAGTAATTAGAGCCTTTGCCTTACTAATTATATAACATTATTTTGTGGTGCGAGACTGTAAATTTCACTCTTATAATATATTTGGATTACGAGGTGAGAAAATAAAGAAAATAATTGTGAATTTTTTTTTTTGTTTTCTTGTTTAAATAAATAATGATTAAGAAGATATGTATGTCTTTTTATTTTATTTGATCTGTATTTGCTTTGTTCAAGTCTAAAGGCCTAGTTAAAGTACATGTTATCATAATTAATTACATTAAATTATCACAATCACAAATCATATTTATTAAAACAATCCCACACTACTAGAAATATGGTTTTTTGCGTCTTATTTTTTGCGACGGATTGTTTAACCGTCACAAAAAATCATTTTTTTACATCAAAATCTAATTTTATTTAAACTCCAAGCGTGTTTCGCTATTACTTCCCAATTTCTGTCTCCATTTCACGCTCTCTTCGGCTGAAGAAGAGACCTCCAACGGTGTGTCTCTCTCTCTCTCTCTGAAAATCTCACTCTCCACTCTCTCTTGCTCGACTCTCTTTCCACTACAAGAAAATACACTTTTGGCGACTAAAAAATTCGTCGCCAAAAGTACATATTTTAGTCGCCGAAAGTATTTCCCGACTAAATAATTTGGTCGTTGGATTTGTCGGCCATACATAGTCGCCGAAGGCATTAGCGACTAAAATTCATTTAGTCGCCATAAGTAGCACAAAATACCGACTAACATGTTAGTAGCCAAAAAAACAGGTATTGGCGACGAAAACAGTCTTAGTCGCGGATAGCAGACATTGCCGACTAAAACGTTAGTCGCCCAAACCTTTCATTAAATATTTTAACTCAACTATTAGCTACTAATGTTTTTGTCGCTAAAAAATACAATATATACGGTGACAATATTCTTAGTCGCTAATAGTGCAACTTCAGCTACTAATGTTTAGTTGCCCATGATTTTTTATGTTTTGGCGACTAAAATTTAGTCGCCAAAAATTTCTTGGGGTTTTAGCTACTAAAATAGGTTGTCGCCATAGCTGTTTTGGAGTTGTTTTGGCTACCAAAAATTTTGTCGCCAAAAGTTTTTTCAGCTTTAGCCACTACACATTTAGTTGCCATAACTATTTTCCAGTTTTTTTGGCTACTAAATTATTAGTCACCATAACTATTTTTATTCGTTTTGGCTACTAAAAATTTAGTCGCCAAAAGATTTTTCTTTTTAACTACAAATTGATTTCTCACCAAAAGCATCATTTTATATTTTTGTTTTGTTTGTTTAATTTTACTAAATTTTGTCCAAACCTGTATGTATCCATCGCAACCTGTAATACGTATACAACCTGTATGTATCACCTACATGGTTCACTTAGAACCATAAAACAAAAATGAACACCTGCTATATATATTCCAATTACAAATAATAACATCATACATTCCAAATACGTTACCAAAATTATGTCCTCTATACACAACATTTTTACTATACTATGCATTGTAATGACCATTTGACAAGGTACAAATTACTATGGTAATATGTACCACGACAAAAGGTAATACAAGCTCCAAAAATATTATGTACCCCACCATAAATTATATGTACGATGCATCCAAATTCCACGGTTCATTAATTAATACAAGCTCCAAAAATACTTTGTACCCTGTCAAAAATTATATGTTCGATGCATCCATAGTCCACAGCAAAAAGTATAGGACGACAAAAAACTTCCCAACTTTCCCAGCTTGTGTATCTTCCGAGAAAAAATTAGAAGATCCACATGTCAATGCCAAAAGCCATCTACACAACAAAAATTACACCCATTAGTTCCATTGTAAACAAAAAGTTATAGCCATCTACAAAACACAAATTGCAAGGATGTCAATTGTAATTGAAATTGTATGTAAATATAATTTGAATTTAGGTATTTCAATATAGTTTTTGTACACGTTAACTTGTATTTAAAGTGCAAACAAATTTGTAAGTCAACCCCAACTCAAGTTTACTCTAATGTGTAAACATACATATATTTTATTCATAACTGTACGTATATAGAGATTGTTATAGAACATATATATATTGCTAAGCTTTAATATATTTGTATAAGCTTTAGGCATTTTTCACGCCAACTCCCAACGTACACGTGCTAATTACGTCCCGTCTGTCCCCACAGGTCCTATTTGACATGAGTAAGCTACCCGTGCCATCCCCGTAGTGCTTTGGGGGCTGCTCTCAAATTTCGGCCCTCGAAGCCCTTTTTTCGACTCAGTTTATGGCGTTTTTCACGCTAACTCCCAACGTGCACGTGCTAATTACGTCCCGTCTGTCCCCACAGGTCCTATTTGACATGAGGAAGCTACCCGTGCCATCCCCGTAGTGCTTTGGGGGCTGCTCTCAAATTTCGGCCCTCGAAGCCCTTTTTTCGACTCAGTTTATGGCGTTTTTCACGCTAACTCCCAACGTGCACGTGCTAATTACGTCCCGTCTGTCTCGTCTGTCCCCACTGCCATCCCCGGAGTGTGTTTGGTGTACATAAAGATGCACTATGGAGAAGAATTATTTGCAACAAATATATATTGGATGTGACTAGGTGGCATTGTGTCCATTGCAAACCAGAGTAATATCCTAAGAAAACTGCTTTTCAAAAATCCAAACAAATTTTAATTTTGTTTTACACATTATTCAGTTCAAATTAGTGTTGGTTTTATTTTTACAAATTTATTATTAAGAATCACATATTCATTCTTCACAGTTAGCGTTTTGAAATCAAAGCTCCTTTGCAGTATTTATATGGCACTCATTATATTGTAGTAAATCAAAATTCATTCTAATTTCTCTTTAGTCTTAAATCTCAAATCACATTCAATTGGACTTGGTTACCTTATAGAAATCAGAGTATGGTCCTTTCTGTAATGTATCAAAACACCAGGTCGGCTGCTGCAATATCTACTCACATGATGCCTCATAACCTATTCGAAGCACATCACAAAGAAAATATTTGCATACCAACTTTAGAAGACAATTCTATGAAAATATGATCCATATTTTTTGTACAACTTACAGTGCCAAGAAAATTATGTTTACTGAATAGTAAGAAAATTATGTTTACCGAATAGTAGGATGACCATCTGAACCTGGCAAGAGGGTTGTGAGCCGTGACACCACGTCGTTTAGATGATTGAGTTGTAGTTGTTGTGCCTCCCGTGCTTTTTTTTCTTCATCAACTTGTTTGATTAGCTGCTTTCTTTCCCTCGTAATTTCCTCCCGATCTCTTTCGCGCGCCTCTTTCTCCTTCAATAGCTCCTCCCGATCTCTTTGTCGCTCCTCTTTCTCCTTCAATAGCTCCTCCCTATCTCTTTGCCGCTCCTCTTTCTCCTTCAATAGCTCCTCCCGATCCCTTTGCCGCTCCTCTTTCTCCTTCAGCAACTCCTCGTGATCACTTTGACGCTGCTCACGAAGAACCTCCAATTTCGCTCTCATTAACTCCATATGTTTATCACGTGCTCGTGCCGCACTAGAAGCTGTGGAAGAGGGTTGTGGGCCTACCCCACATCCACGTAAGTAATTTTTTTTTTCCCCGAGCACTTGCCTTGATATTTCTTCGTGGGTCAATGGCAACCCCGTAGCGGTGGCTGTCACTTGTAGATTCACCATATCATCCTGTAATGCCAACAAAACAATAAAGTGAAGATGGGAGAAGGAATTTAAAAAAACTTTATTAATTGATATGCATCACACTTGGTTTCAACATTCAATACTCACATGTAGCTCACCACATTTGGGGTCAATCCAATCTCCCGTCTTCTTAGACTTGTGTGCTTTCTTATAAAATTCGGGGAAATCTATATCCCCATCCTCATTTGCCTGTTATGTTCGGGAAAAATCCATTGACGAATTAGTACATGGTAATATTCACAATCATGAAGAATTAATCATCCATTACATGTCTAAATTAACTTCTCACCATTAGCGACATTGCTATAGGAAATGATCGCGATCCACTTGTATGATTATAGGGGAGCATACCCCTATTTGCTTTACTAGCCGTAGACCGTTTCTACAAAAATATTAAAAAAAAAGAAAAAAAGAACATGCTTTACTAAGTTTCAGTGAAGAAGTTCTACATCTATTAGTGAAGAAGTTTTACATATTAACACATAAATTAATTTCAATAATGGCCTATCTAATTTATTTGTTACCAGGTGAGATTCGTCTTTCCAAACAACATCAATCAAATATTTCCAGTCCTCCAAGCTCACTCCACTAGGTGGACGACTATAGGGGTCATCAACACCCTTTTCCTCAAGTTCGAGGAACTCTTGCTTTAGATTGTACCTCCAATCCTTGTATAGCAAATATGCCTTCCTATCGAGGATCTGTTGAGCTTGTTCATCATTATCAAAATCATCGCCGATAACAAACTTGTCCTACAAACATAGATACAAAATTAGTAGAACAATTAATTTAACCAATTACAAATTATATAATAAAGACATTATGGCAAGATGAATCTCATACTAGCACCGCTTGGATGACCGCATCTTTGGTACTTTGATCAATTTTTATCCATGACTTCACGCTCTGAAGAGGGCACAATCGTCTAATTTGAAGGCCCAACTCATTCGTCGCTGGGGTTGCATTCCCTCCTGTGATTGCGTTCAACACCCGATTGACGTAGACATGTAATTTCTCCTCCTTTTTCCTAGCAATTTTTTTCTGCACGCCTTTGCCTAATGTAGGTCCTCGAACACGAGTTGACCTCGTTTGCCCTACTACAAAAGGGGAACGTTGTCAACATTACAAACATTGCTAATGGAGTACAAAAAGAAAATGCTGCACGTAAAGTCCTGTCACTTTTTTTTGCTGCCTACTGTTACTGCCAGCTACTGTTTGTGGATATAAAATCGGACGTTAATTATGACTACTGTTGCTGGCAGCTACTGTTTGGCTGCATACAATCTTGGAAAATTATGCGACAACTTGGATAAAGTGTTGGTAAATTATGCATAAAGTCTTCGTAAATTGTTATGCCGACCGTTGCTACCAACTTGGAAGGTTGTGTACCTAATATTTTATTTCTTGTGTAAGTGTCCTTGTTATGTGTATATTAATGTTTAGTTTTTTTTTCCTTTGTTTTTATTTGCCTTTATGGGGTTTTCATTGCCTTACTTGATGACTTATGCACCCCCCCCAAAAAAAAAACCAAATTTTTTTTAAACAACTAAATAGTATGCGTCTCCTCCACCACAGTTTGTGTATCATCTGGTGGTTGCGTCTCATCAAAGAACATCATCGGGGTGCCACTCTCCTGTGGACATGCTTCAGATGTTGATAGTACGTTGCCACTAGTTGCTCTCTTCCGTCGGCCTGTCTTGACTCCCGGAACCATTGTACCTACATTACGTAACAAACATACATGAGTAATAAACATCGCATAAATTAGTAGTGTAATTGCTGCAATAATGACACAACACTGTCTACTCAATAATAAAATGCTCGTTAAGCAATGGTAAACTAAGAGAACATGATGGTGATACACATTAATCTAGCAATGTCCTTCCTACTCAAACCCATTTATTCTGAAATTTTTAAAAATAGATTTGTAATTTTTTTTATTAGGTTCCCATAGCTATACATGTAATTTTGTTTTTTTGTATATTTGCTTATTGTTTAAAAATAATTTTATTAACCCAGCAATTACATAAGTTAATAAATATATATTTTTTACTATCTTATAATTTCATATTAGTGGAAATCTGAAGGAACAAAATAATATCAACTCAATCGGAGAGAAAGGATATTATGTCAAGTTACCCGAGGAAGCTGCCCGGCAAGAACACCGAAAAAGCCTGTTGTCCCTACCACCGTAAAGAGAAAAGATGCCTGCATGACTGAATGAAATCAAATTCATGGAGAATATAATATTTACGAATTATGATGGTTTACATCTTGCAAAAACAAGAAAAGAAAATCAAATGGAAGGCACATGTGTCATCACATTCTACTCTTGATTCCCCAAAAATACAGAATGAAATTTATGCAATGGAATGTATGCTCTTTTATTGTTATAGGTTAAACAAAACATTTAGTGTAGGGCAACTTACATCATTTCTAACACTTGGGATTGCAAGGTTCTCCGCGTTTTTAATTCCAAGAGTTGTCAGCTCCCGAAGAGAGGTCTGCTGCATAAATTTGAAACAGTTAAACTACATATTGTGAGACCAAGTACACTAATTACTGAAGTTTTCGAAGCAGTAAACAAATGTACATTATTTATGTACATTTACGCATAGATTCGTAGACGTGGCTAATGTTTGAGTAGCACTTTCCCAAAACTTCACACTTGTTATGGACACTGACCATACGACGTGATACATATGGTTGAGAACTCCATTTGTTTGCCCAACTTCCCTCAGCTGAGCAAGTGCCTCTTTGACAGCATCACTGTCTTTCTGCAGCAAATCATAGAGTTACTTCAGTAAAACTTGTGTGCATTGTGGTCAGAGACTAATTACAATTTTCCCACAGCTTGTTCTACGAATCGCATAGCTTCACAGCATCACTGGCTGAAGCTTCCAATAAACAGGAACAGTTTGCTGTTCAGCCATAATGTTTCAGAGCTTGTGACTATTATTTTCTGATAAGAAAAATTTTATTGACCCAAAAGTGAGCCACCTAGAGGGGAAGAACATTATAGAATATGGTTTAGACAAATTTTGACATTAAACAATATCACAAGAGCACTCAAAAATATCATGAATTCTCACAATATTTATTGAATAAATCCATCTATTAAAAGTAATACGTAAGTTCCTTTATTGTCTGGAGGGTTGATTTCATTGTGATGGTATTTTGTGTGAGGAATAAGGAAAATGTTAGGCCCTTATAATGTAAAACTCATGGTTCATCTACAGTATCATGGAAGATAGTAATTAGAGCCTTTGCCTTACTAATTATATAACATTATTTTGTGGTGTGAGATTGTAAATTTCACTCTTATAATATATTTGGATTATGAGATGAGAAAATAAAGAACTTGTGAATTTCTTTTACCTTCTTGTTTAAATAAATAATGATTAAAAGAACATATGTATGTCTTTTTATTTTATTTGCTTTGTCCAAGTCGAGAGGCCTAGTTAAAGTACATGTTATCATAATTAATTACATTAAATCATAACAATCACAAATCATATTTATTAATTAAAGAATGTGCACAGGAGAGGGAGTGCAAAATTGTTTGTAGTTAAAATACTTCCAGAGCAAAAGTGCTCATATATCTAATTTTAGTATAGTATTTAAAGTAGTATTTATTTTAACTTTTACCTCTCTTATATGACACTTATGCGGGACTTTCTATCACTTTATAGTTTAAAATGTCACGTTTTAAGGATATTAAAGATGGCGTTGTCTTTTTATTTATTTGTTTTTTTTGATCAGCAAAGAGAAATTTCATTTAATAGCATGAAATTAAAGGTACAGGAAGATGAGATGCATCGAGAGAGATTCGGAAGTATAAAAATACCCCTACTACTGCTACTCGCATCCATACAACCAACCCCTAAGCCTCTCGATTTTTTATAAATTACATCAATAAATAAAAGGGAGGTGCAAAAGTATCACAATGATCTAAATGATCCCAACTAGGTTGGCACAACAAAGCTCATCCTATCATTTGCTAACACTCCAAGTTGATGAGAGACCAACGAAAAAGAACAGACCATAGTAACATCAGAACGGCCACTCAATTCAGACCATCAGCCAAACATCTGAAATAAAACAAACCAACCAACTAAACCTAGCACCTAAGCATAGCAGACCAGCAAATCACCAATTCAGATAAAAAAACAGAACTGAAATGCAGAACACTAGCGTCACATTCCTTAAGTTGCCAGCAGTAGGCCAAATTTGTTGACAGAGGCACACCTATGTGGACTTTCTATCACTTCATAGTATAAAAAGTCACGTTTCAAGGATATTAAAGATGGCGTAGTCTTTTTATTTATTTGTTATTCAATCAAATTCATTATCCATATAAATTCTAGGGTAAAGCACCAGTAATACTCTCTCTCTCTCTCTCTCTCTCTCTCTATATATATATATATATATCAAACAAATCCAACCATTTAGCAAATTAAAATTGTTTTAAAAATTAAAATTTAATTTTTAATTCTCACACCCACAATAACATACTTTCTATTCAATTTTTTTAAAATATATATTTTTTTGTCAACTTCAGTTTCAATATACATTTAATTGCAAAAGATTAAAAAAAGAAAATTAAGTAATTAAAAACATTCTTTAGTTTTAAATTACTACTTCTATTTCTCCATCTATTTTAATCACTAATTTTATTATCAAATTGAGTGTTTATTTTCTTATTTTATAATTTAATATTATATAAATTTATTTAAGTTATACTTTTATAGTACGATTGGACTAAAAGTAAATTATATATATTATAACATATATTTTAAAATAATTTTATATATGTATACATATACATATAAATAAATAATTAACTACAATAATCTCTCTCACACACACACACATATATTTATTATAATATTTAAATAAATAAATAAATAATTAACTACTACACCACCACAACACCGCCGGACGCCACACCAACATCACCTATTCCTCCACCACGCCACTCTTCCACTGCCATCGTCGTTCATAAAAATAGCAATAATGATAATAAACAATTTAAATATATATATATTTATAATTATAATTATAAAACAAATGAAGTAAATAAATGAGTTTGTTGGGTTCATTTGTACAATCCGGTTTCCAATCTAACCCAACCCGTTTAAGCCCATTTATTAACCAGATGGGTTTGGATTATCAATAGAAAAAATTATCAATAAAACACATTCTTACTTTATTGATGTAAGTTTTACTTGTATTTTTCCTTCTTCATTAATAAAATTTTCTATTTTACTGAAAAAAAGAAAAAGAAAGAAAAAGTTGATCCAGTCGAGTTCAAATTGGTTGCTCAAAGACGTCACTTTCAATTCTTAGCTGTTTACCAGTAACCCTAAACCATATATCTCATGGTAAGTGTCGAGAGAAATGATCTTGGAAGCCATTGCTCAGTGGAATAATGGTAGCGAAGAAGCCATTGCTCAGTGGAATAATGGCTTCTTGGCTGCAATCGGCCATCAAAAGCTGTAGACTTGGCTTTCTATCTTTCTTCAAGGTAGAGTCTGTTGATGTTGAAGCTGTTGAATCTTCACGTAATGATCCTTTGCCGAGCTCACTGCCAACGATCTCAACAACTTCTTCACAAACCCAAATTCGAACCTACTTACCTAACTCTATGGCCCAAGCTTTTCGTGACCTAGAGATTGGGAAATCGTTTCTAACTTTCATATGGCCTATGGCCTCAATTCTCTTGGCAGTAAACGGCAAACATGTCTCCCCCCCAGTTTTGGTTTTGATCTTGTGCTTACTTTCTGCCGCCTTCGTCGCGCTGCTATTCGGAATCTCGCTTCGCGTGGAGTATCCTTGGAAGGCAAATGTGCTTGAGCAAGTGGGAATTGCATTTATTTACATGTCCTTTTTCATATTGGTTGCATCCAATCTTCCCTCGTCCGCTGTTTGGTTTCCCTTGATCTGTTGCGTCTTATGTGTGGGACTATCAATTCGTTGTTGTCTACCAGTTACAAAACCCTAATACAGAAAGGAGAAGTAAATTAGGATTTTGAAAAGTTTTAGTTTCCTATTTTTATGTTATCTTGTAATGGTATTTCGGTTTCTGTTCGAGTTTGTTTCAATTTCGTTTTGGGTTTAGGTTTGTTTGTATTTTTCGAGTTTGTTTGATATCCCATCTTCCCTCGTCCGCTGTTTGGTTTCCCTTAATCTGTTTCATCTTATGTGTGGGACTATCAATTTGTTGTTGTCTACCCGTTGCAAAATCCTAATACGGAAAGGAGAAGTATATTAGGGTTTTAAAAGTTTAGTTTTAGTTTCCTACTTTTATGTTATCTTGTAAGGGTATTTCGGTTTCTTTCCGAGTTTGTTTCAATTTCGTTTTGGATTTGGGTTTGTTTGTATTTTTTGAGTTTGTTTGATGTTCCCACTTTTGTATTAACGTCAATAAATTTAATCTTTCTGTTTAAAAAAAATAAATATATAGATAGTGTTGGATATATTGTAAGATTTAATCATGATGATCAAATTTGTATTGCTTTCATTTTAAAAAAATATAAATATTAGATACTTTTGAAATATCACGTGTATATTCCTTCACCAATTATTAGACACTATATCTTCTCATGTTTCTCAATTACTTAACATAAAATCATAATATCCCGTCTTTTCTATCAATTATAATATTATAGAACACTACGTGGCTATCATTGAGTCTACTCAATAATCACCATCGTTTTAATGGGTGCTCTTTATCAGTTTAGTTTGGAAGAGATTAGCTGCATTTCTTTTAGGTTTGGTATTGATTTGTCTGTGATGTATCCATCTTTTTACTCATAGGTTTTTTCGACAATATAATTCTCTTTGCCAGATCCAAATAATAGTAATAATAAATAAATAACGACAATGCTAGGTAGCTCAAACTTTTGTGGCTCAAATGGCTCAAATCTGTCAAAACGACGTCGTTTTGACAGATTTTGAGTATAAAACGACGTCGTTTTGACAGATTTGAGCCATTTGAGCCACAAAAATTTGAGCTACCAAACATTTTCCAATAAATAAATACTGCGTATAGATATGAATTCTTTGCTAGTTTTTGTTTATTTATTGGATATGTCTTACTAGTCCATTTCATATCTTTGCGTGTCATTCCCAGGAATGTTGGGGCATAAGTTAGATTTTGGTCATACTGGATCCTACTGACCAACCTCATCCATATTAAATGATATGATATGATTGCTATTCTCAATGCATAATTTGGTCTTAATTTTTAGAATGGGGGAATTTTATATCATGTTTCGACGTATCATTTTATAATTATAATTTCAATTTAAAACTGAACCACACCATCTAAATATACGTGTAATTTGCTATTTATCATAAACATTCAAATACTTCGTGTATGTGTGCATAAATTGTTAATCATTACATCTCATATTTTGTTACTCCTTTACCTCATTCCCATCTTCAAAATCTCTCTGACAGCCGGTTTACACTGAGCGATTTGGGAAGAAAATAAAAGAATTGCATTTCTCTTAATTCATATTACTCGTTTGGATAAGCCAAAAAAGAGAAATAGAGTGAAGTGAAATTTTTTTTAGAGAAATTCATTTGTCTCACAGTCCTATTTTAAATGTCTCCAAAAGGGGAGAGATTGGGGGTGGAAAAAAACCAAATAAATATTATTTTGCTATAATACTAAAACTACCCTTTTAGATATAACATGATATCATTTATTTTTCTTTTTCTTTTTT